AGACTACTTCGCTAGGTATAGGTGACATGTACATTTAAAACAACTTCTCAGGAATGCTGATGCAGAGGGGCCAGGCCCTGATCATTCTTCCCTTACCAAACCTCTGCTGGAGAATCCAGAGCTGTATGTCCATGCCCACCTCTAGAGGCCCCGCCAGCCCTGAGATCCAAAGTGCCCCAGCAAGGGCTCTCCCTGGATCCCACCAACACCTACCCAGTAACCAAGACTAGCAACTTGGGCTTCTACTTCAATCTTGTGGCTCCCTCCTTTTCCACTTTCAGTCAGACCCTGATCTCAGGCCCAACTGTGAAGTTTTCATTTCCTTTTTTCTTTTTAAAAATCATCTTTATTGTTGAATGTATTACAGATGTTTTTCCCCATTGACCCACTCCTCCTCAGTCCCACCCCCCTCTCCTTCCTCACACTATTGCTGGTGTTCATTGGTTATGCATATGCATAGAAGTTCTTTGGTTTATCTTATCTCACCCTCCCTCCCCCCTTCCCTTTGAGGTTCATCAGTCTAACAACGAATATGTGCTTCTTAATTCCTTTATCTTTTTCACCCATCACTCCAGCCCCAACCAATCTGGCAAGCAACAAAAAGTTCTCTGTATCTGTGAGTCTGTTTCTGGACTGCTTGCTCATTTTGTTTGTAGACTCAATTATTGATAGATATGTATTAACTGCCATTTTATTGCTCATATTTTTGTTCTTCTCCTTCAAGAAGACCCTTTGACATTTCATATAATACCACTTTGGTGGTGATGAACTCCTTTAGCTTTTTCTTGTCTGGGAAACTCTTTATATGTCCGTTGATTCTAAATGATAGCTTTGGTTGTAAGTTGTTGCTTTTCATCACCTTGCCACTCCTTTCTGGCCTGCAAAGTTTCTTTTGAGAAATCAGCTGGAAGTCTTATGGGAGCTCCTTTGTAGGTAATGAACTTCTTTTCTCTTGCTGCTTTTAAGATTCTCTCTTTGTCTTTAACCTTTGGCATTTTGATGATGATGTGTCTTGATATGGACCTTAGTGGGTTCCTCTTGCTTGGGACTCTCCGTGCTTCCTGGACTTGTATGTCTGTTTCCTTCACCAAGTAGGGGAAGTTTTCTGTCATTATTGTTTCAGATAGGTTTTCAGTTTCTTGCTCGCTCTCTTCTCCTTCTGGCACCCCTATGATGTGAATGTTGGCATGCTTAAAGTTGTCCCAGAGGCTCCTTACACTATCCTCATTTTCTTGGATTCTTTTCTTTTTGCTGTTCTGATTGGGTGTTTTTTGCTTCCTTATATTCCCAATCGATGGTTTGCTTCTTGGCTTTACCTAGTCTACTATTGATTCCCTGTAAATTATTCTTTATTTCAGTTAGTGCGTTCTTCATTTCTGACTGGTCCTTTTTGATGTTGTTGATGTTCTAAGTTCATTGGAGGTCTCCTTAAGTTCCTGGAAGGTCTCAACAAGTTCCTTGAGCAACCTTATAACCAGTGTTTTGAACTCTGCATCTGGTTTACTGCTTATCTCCATTTTGTTTAATTCTTTTCCTGGAGTTTTATTCTTTTCTTTCATTTGGGACATTTTTCTTTGTCTCATTTTGGCTGCTTCCCTGTGATTGTTTCTATGTATGTGATAGAGCTGCTATGTCTCCTAGGCTTCATAGAGTGGCCTATTGTTGTAGGTGTCCTGTAGGATCCAATAGTATGGCTTCCCTGCTCACCCCATCTGGGCCCTTGAGGTATACCCTTCTGTTGTAATTGAGTCTTGATTGCTGTTAGCACGCCAATGAAAGGGATTTACTTAGGCTGATCAGCTGCAAGGACTGGCTGTGCCCACTGACCACTGGCCTCTGATTCCCTTGAGGATCAGCTGTGTAGGAGCCTACCACACAGAGCAAGAGTTACTTCATCCGGGCTCTGGTATCCACTCAGTCCACTCACTGAGTGTGTTATTTATGGAGGTGGTTGGGTGGTGGTGTTTCGATGTGGTCTGAAGCTGTCCATTGGGTGTGCTGGCTCCGGGGCAAGGTCAGCCACTGCCTGTGTTCTCTCTGGGATGAGCTACAAAGTGATCTGCCAATGGCTGCTTCTTGTGCTGGGCTTGGAAGTGCCCAGAAAAACCAAGTTGTGAACCAAGACTGGTTGCTTCTAGTGCCAGGCCTGGGGCCACTTAATGAGAGGTATGGGGCTTGCTGAGACCAGATGTTGCTTATTTGAGAGATTTTAGGAAACTCTGAAGCAGGAGCCAAGACAGGCCAATCCTACGGTAAAACCTTTGGAAACAGCTTGGGTGGGCCTGAAAGTTGGGTAGGGAAGGACCTCAGGGAGTCACTAAGGCAGGGCAAATAGTGTGAGCCAGGTTGCTGAACTTCCAGATATGGCGGTCGTCTGCCACCCTGGCAGCTGCACCCTCCCTCAGCCTCAGTTCTTGCTGGTTTTTCCAGCCAGAAGTTATGGGGACTTCTCTTCCTGGCACTGGAACCCTGAGCTGAGTGCATGGTGTGGGATGGGGACCCCTCACTCCTCAGGGAGGACCTTCCCAGCTGAGGTGTCCCTCCTGATTTTTATCCACCACACATGGGTGTGGGACCAGCCCTTCTGTGCCTCCGCCCCTCCTACCAGTCTCCATGTGGCAGCTTCTTTAATTTTGTAGTTGTAGGACTTCCATTCAGCTCGATTTCAGGCGGTTCTGCTGGTGGTTTTTCTGTAGCTTAGTTGTAATTTTGATGTGATTGTGGGAGAAGGTGATACAGCATTTACCTACACTGCCATCTTGACCAGAAGTCCCAACTGTGAAGTTTTCTGCTCTAGGGAGTCTCTGGCACCCAGGCATTGCAGTGCCCATCCAGCCCACACCTACCCCACGTCATCTCTGAACAGAGATTTGGGCCTTCCCTCAGCAAAGCTTCCCTGCCTAGCAAGTGACACCAACACCTTTGCCATCTCAAGCCCCCTTGGCTAGCCTTCATTGAAGGTGTTGCATTCCCAGCAACCTCAGGTGCTTCCAGGCCTCTCCACGGCTGCGCTATATCCCGATATGTGTGCCCTGGGAAACCCCCTCCTTCATGTATCACCCTCATTTCATCTGGTTTCACATCCCAGTTGGTTGGTAATGTTCACATCCCAGTAGGTTGTTAATGATTTCAACAACTAAAATCTTAATGATCACTGGATTCACCTGAACTTTGAGTATATGTGTTTGGCACATAGTGAGAATGTAATAAAGGTCTGTTGACAAAATTAGCCTTATACTCCTACCCTTTTCCTTCTAAATTCTACTTCCTGGAAATTAGTGTTTTTGTTGCATGACATTTATAAGCAGCAACCACTTGTCAAGGTGACCTCCTTGTTTGCCTATAGCAGAAACACTGCATAAATAATAAAGTTTAACAACAAGGCAACATTTTGATTTTTCTTTAGTTAAAACCAGTTTTGTTTAATATGTAGATCAAGGAAAGAACTGGACATGAGGGGTAATAAAAATATGAGAACTTATAAAGCCCATAGGAAACATCAAGTTAGTTAGATTTAGTAATCTTATTTTGTTCAAACCCTTTGTCACCACATCTTCTTTTTAAAAAAATCCTCACCCAAGGATTTATATTGATTTTAGAGAGAGAGAAAGAACATTGATGTGAAACATCAATCTGTTGCCTCTCGTGTTCCTATATGTGCCCCAACCAGGGATTGAACCCACAACTTTTTGGTGTATCAGAAAAGGCCCCAACCAACTGAGCCATCTGACCAGGGTGTGGATGAATCTTTTGAAGCTGGGCTGTTGCAGGCATATGGGCAGCTGGCAGGTGTTCAGGGAAGTACCTCATGGATGTTCTTAAGTCAGGCCTGAGGAGGGGCAGGGAGATAGAGCCTCTCTTAAAAAGTGGGGCTCACCAGACTTTACAAGGTGTTTTTAACCACCTGATGGTAGAACTTGTCTTCTACTCAGGGGGAAGAGGCAGGCCACCCTGAGCATACATGCTGCCCACTAACACCACCATTACCACCACCACCACCTCCAGGCCATCCTAAGCTTGGGCCTCCTCCTGTGGACAGCTGGGGTGTTTTCTGGCCAGCCATCTCTCCTCTTTCCCTGAAATAACAGGAAAGGAGGACTATGGGAAGTTCTTCCCTTAGGAAGTTAAAAATCACCAAATTGTAGGCATTTGCATTTTTACTGTCACAACTCAATTCCTGGCTGCTCCTGACCTCAGTCCACATGCATCCTGTGTTTGAGCTGCCAGTTCTGCACCCAGCTGGGCCAGTGGACAGGCTGGAGCCAGGCTCATCTCAGAGCAGTCCACTGCACGAACCTCTTCTGCCCCTTCCATTCCTCAAATAGTCCCTACCATACCCCCTCAAAAAATGATCAAAGGTTATCATACATTTCCTGGGTAATTACCATGGTGGCTATAAGACTTGCAACCACTGAGATGCTCATAAAATGTGGAAAAAGCACCTCTCCGTACCCCTAACCATGTCTGCCTGGCCAATAAACTCTACTACCTGAATATTGAGCTTCTCAGAGGCAGGAGTGGCCATGTTGAGATGTGTTCATGAAACTTTCATGAAAGCAGCCTGGCATTCTGCCCCTGCCAGGGTCCCTGGTGGCTCAGCAGAGAATTTCCCCTCAGCACAGCTGCCAGCAAAAAGGTTGTTATTTGAGACAAATCATGCCACCCTCAGTCCTCCCAAAGTGCATACCTTCACGAAGAAGTTACTACTGTCCCTCCTGACAAAGGCAAGACATGACGTAGCTGAGCAGGAAAGTGGACACAATTTTCAGGAAAAGGGTGTCTAGCTGGGATATAAAGCACTGTTCTGAGTGAACTCCCTGTAAGAAATGCCTCCTTGGTTATTCAACAGGGAATATGTGCACCAGATTTACCAGAAATTCAAATATTATATCAATAAGTGGATTTTTAGGGGCTTGAATTTTAAATTTCTTCTCAAGTAATTTAATTTCTTTTCAGTAAAGAAATGTCTTAAAAAAAAAAAAAAAAAGAAGTATCTCGAGTGAAATTTAATGTGAATTTTGTAAGACTGTACAAGTCAGAAGAAAATTCTGTGTTGGGATCTGAATTCTGGTTCAGGGAAGCAAGGTTGTGGTGGGGATAACATGGTCAGAACCAGGCCCTCTTCCCTGTGGGAAGAGCCAATCCAAATATAAACGTCGGTTCAAGTCTGGAGCCCCTGACAGTCCGAGTTTAAACTCCTTAACTCAATTTTCTCACCGCAAGCCAGTGGTAAACCTGTCTATGAACAGTGCTCTCTTGAAACCGTTTTTTATAAAAAATATTTTCATAGTGCAAGGACTATAAAAAGAAAACAAACAAAAGCCCTTGGTTAAAGGTAAAAAGAAAAAGCTGCTAAGACCTTAAAAATCTGCACTGTTCCAGCTTCAAATGATTAAAAACAAAATGCTGCTGGTCACAGAAGTGATGATCCTAAAGGCTGTTACCACCCTGGTTCTGTGAGGGTTTTTGTTCTAGGCATAACTGTGTCTGAGACATCTTAGAACAACCACAAGCAGAGACGCTGTTAAAGAGAAGCCGGTGCACGTGAAAAAGGGCAAGTGTTCTCCTCAAATTGTCCTATAGGGTCAATAAAAACAGCAGCATGTGGATATGTGGGTCTGTGTGGTTTGCTTCTGGGTCTAACTCTTGGTATGTGGAGACTGAGGTTTCCATTCTCATAACAAGGATCAGAGGGTCTGAGCACATTCACACCTCTTTGTGGCTCATGTCACTAGAAGAAACAGGCTGAACTAGGGTGTGTCCTTGAGCAAAAAGGATGCTTAGATTTGTTTCATACATTTGCTCATCATGTTTCTGTGCTGAGATTACTCTTAAGATGCATGTTTCTTGTGATGTTAACTTGCTGTCATCCCAGGTGTGTGGGAAGAGCACGTGTTCCAGATGCGCACTATGCTGGCCACCACATCTTCTTCTGTAAGTTCCTCTGCCTTCTTCATGCTGATGCCAAGGCTGGTGGGAGAGCATTGGGTTAAACCAGTGAAGACTGAAGGAGGGTGTTTATCTGGTGTCTAACAGCAAGGAGGTGATGTGATCTTCTCAAAAAGCACTCCGAACCATTCTGACTTTGACACACACTGGCTGTCACCTGAGATCATTGCCAGGCTGGCCTCTTGGGTGCCACTTCCCCACATACCCAGTAGTTGCCAAGCAAATAAGTCCACAGGCCTACAGGACAGAGCTTTCAGTGTTTTGGTGGTCACATAAGCACATGTCACCTTATGTCATGCTCTATGACAACAGACAACTGCCTGTCCTGCTCAGCCTGCCTGTAGCCCCGTCTCCATGCTCTGGGTGGTCAGTCTCAGAGGAAGGACAAAAGATGAGGCTCTCTCTCAGGAACCTTCAGAAAGAGGCCCTTTAAGAGGAAGTAAATTAAGAGACAGGAAAAGAGAGTGGGCCACACAGCAGCAACTTGTGTTAGTGTCAGTAAGAAGTGTGCCCATGGGCGTTAGTTTGCATCATAAGTGGGGAGCACAAAGGTATTTAAAAATGCCCATGTTACCCTGACACAGCATGTGATTATTCAGAGACACATTTACGAGGCAACAATTAACCCCTGGGCTGCCTCTTCTGCAAACAGCCAGGCTTGTTGGGGCCCATGTTCAGTGGCCAGCTTTGGGTGGGCTTTTGGTGCCACCAGGTCACCTGAGAAATAAGACTGTTCTCAAAGCCTCACCTTAGGGGAACTATTCAATTTAACCGCGAGCCCCAAACTGAGCTTGGAAAGCGTTGCCATTCTTCCAAAACAGATGCTGACAGAATACAAAATAAGAAGGGTTGATCATAAATCAAATCACAAAAGATGTGATCCCCAACAGCCCATTAAAAAAAAAATCAGGTTTTGTTCTCATCATACATGTCCAAAGAAGGTTCGATGGTGGAGAATTCAGTTTCATACACCAGGCTCCGAGGGGACAAAGAGCTTCGATGAAAGAAGTGACCACCTGGAAAAGGAACAAAGAAAATGACTTACTAGGTCATCAGGCTTATACTTCCTATATTTCTCACATGCCTTGGAGGAAAGAAGGTGGATTATCTTCAAATATGTGTCTTTATTTTGGGTTCTTATTGTGAGAGAAATGCAAAGAATTCCGGCATCCCTCAATTTAAGCACACTTTAAACAGGAAAATTTCAATGTTCGGGCCCCCCAAAAATTAACCACTGGAGTTCCTACAAAGCCTCCACTTACAGACTTGAAGACTTTGACCAAGGGACTCCTGATCATGTGGAAAACTTCCACTTCTCCTGTCTGAGTCTGGGGTGGGGGGCACACACAGCTGCTTCATCACTGGGCAGATTGAGGTTGTTATTTTGAGGCTTTGATAGTGCATTCAAGGTTTTTATTTATGTTAAAGTTGTATCTTAACATGGTTCAGACAGTTAATCCCACATGTGTTAAGACCGGTATTCTGTGGTCCCCGTTTTTCAGAGACAGCCACTTTGGACTGATTCGTGGGATATTTACCTTCATGTCTCTAAATAACATGCCTATGCTGATCCTTCCTAATGTTTTCAGTCTTAGACTTTACCTACTAAACCCCCACTATGGAGGATTTCCCCCCAATTTACCACATCCACACGTTTTTCCATTGCCCCAACATAATTATATTTTGATAAGAAAATTTAATGTTCACATTACTTGACTATTTGTGCTATTCAGAGCTAAATCATGCTTACATTTCATTTATTAAATAACTGTTTCATTTTACAGTTTTATTGGGGTATAACTGACATACAATGAAACACACATATTTAAAGTGTATAATTTGATGAGTCTTGACCTATGTACACATCCCCGAAAACATCACTGGAATCAAGACAGCAAATTATCTCCATCACCCCCAAAACTTCCTAGTGACTTCCCCTTCTATTCATTCTATTCTTACCCCCAGGTAAATGCAGGTGAGTTTGCATCTTTCTGGAATTTTAAGTGAAGTCATATAGTAATTTATTGGTTCTTACAAATAAAGCTGCTATGAATATGTGTGTGAGTCTGACAGCCATTTCCCTCAGATAGATACCTAGGAAAGAAAGACTGCATAGGTGTAAGTTGACTTTTCTAAAACAACTGAACTGTTGAGCATCCTACCAGCAGTGTGTGAGTTCCAGCTCCTTGGCATGCTCACCAACACTTAGGCAGTCAATGTTTTACATGTTAGCCATAGTAGGAGTACGGTAGTATCTCATTGTGGTGCTTGCATTTCCCTGATATCTGGCATCTTTTCATGTGCTTATCAACCAATTGTATATGTTTTATGAAGCATTTTGTTTAAATCTTTTGCCCATTTAAAAAATTGGGTTGTCTTTTTATCACTGAGTTGTAAGAGTTTTTAATATATATATGTTCTGGACACAATTCCTTTGTCAGACATACATGTTTTGCAAATCTTTTTTCCTAGTCTGTGGCTTGCCATTTTGTTTAGAAGAGCAGAAGTTTTTTTTTGTTTGTTTGTTTTGTTTTTATCCTCACCCAAGGACATTTTTCCATTTTTTGTTCAGATAGAATGGGGAGGGAGAGAGAGAGAGAAACATCGACGTGAAAGGGACACATCGAGTGGTTGCCACCCGCATGACCCAACCAGGGTCGGGGACAAACTGCAACCGAGGTACGTGCCCTTAGCAGGAACCCAACCTGGGTCTCTCTGGACCTTAGGCTGATGCTCTACCGCTGAGCCAAACCAGCCAGGGCGAAGAGCAGAAGTTTTAAATTTTGATAAAATCTGATTTGATTTTTCCTTCCATAGCAGGTGCTCTTGTGTCAGAATGAAGAAATCTTTTTTTTTTTTTTGTATGTGACCCTAGCAGGAACCGAACCCAGGACTCTCTGGTCCGCAGGCCAATGCTTCAACTGCTGAGCCAAACCGGCCAGGGCAGAATGAAGAAATCTTTGACAAACCCAAGGTCATTAAGATATTTATCCTTTATGTTCATCTAGAAGTTTTATAGTTTTAGTTCTTACATTTAGATAAACCACTTCAAATAAATTTTTGTATATGGTGGGAAATAAAGATTGAAGTTCATCTTTTTGCCAAAGGATATGTTCAATAGTTTCAGCATCATTTGTTTAAAGAATTGTTCTTTCCCCATTGAATTGCCTTGGCACCTTAGTTGAAAATCTATTGCTCCTATAGGTATGTTTTTTTCTGGGCATTATTTTGTTCCAGCAATCCATTTGTCTATCTTTATACCATTTTGATTATTACAGCTTTAGTTGCTAAAGTTATCCATCTTGTCATTGGTTTCCTAAACATATTTCAAGTTATTTTAAAGTCTGTGTCTGATATTTCCAGTATTTGTATTTCTTGTAGATCTATTTCTATTCTTTGTTTTTCCTCCTTTTTTGGTCATTTGGTTTTCTGGTATTTTTTTTCTTTTTCTTTTATTATTCTTTCTTTATTAAATTATAGTTGACAGCATGGCTAGTGTGGCTTAGTGGATTGAGTGTTGTCCCATGGACTGAGATGTCCCAGTTCTATTCCTGCTCAGGGCACATGCCCAGGTTATGGGCTTGTTCCCCAGTAGGGGGTGTGCAGAAGGCAGCCATTTGATGTTTCTCTCTCACATCAGTGTTTCTCTCTCTCTCCCCCTTCCCTCTCTCTTTAAAAAATCAATAAAACACATATTTTAAAAAATTATAGTTGACATAGAATATTATATTATCTTCAGTTGTACAACATAGTGATTCAATATTTATATACCTTAAAATATGATCACGCTAAGTCTATTGTCATGTCACCATACAAAGTTATGATATTATTGACTATATTCCGTGTTGTACATTATATCCTGTGACGTTTACTTTATAATTGGAAGTTTGTACCTCTTAATCCCCTTCACCTCCCCCACATCCCCTCCTCTGGCAACCATCACCTTGTTCTTTGTATCTATGAGTCTGTTTTGTTTGTTCATTCATTTTGTTTTTTTTTTTTTTTTTTAGATTCAACATATAAGTGAGATCATATGGTATTTGTCTCTTTGCATTATTTCACTTCACAAAATTCAATGTAGGTCCATCCATGCATGTTGTCACAAATGGCAAGATTTAATTCTTTTTTATTGCTGAAAAATAGTCCATTGTATATATAATAGTATGCCTGGTATTTTTGATGGATTGCTAGACATTATATATGAAAAATGTGGAGAAAAATGGAGGCTGCTAATAGTGGTATCTTTTTCCATTGGGTTTCCTAATTGCCTTAGGAAGGGAGATATCACTTCAATCCAATTAGAAATTAAGCAGATGCAGAGCTGGGCTTCAGTCTTCAGCATGGCTAGTCAAATACTGGTTTATCCTATAGTTGCAGGGTGGAGACCTTTGGGGACTCCAGTGGAAAGCTGAGGGCTCATTTTCCTTGGTGGGCCTTGAACTCCCAAGTTTTGTCTCACAAGCACAGTAAGACTGCCTAAGAGCTCCTCATCTCTCAGTCTTTCACCTACCACATTTTAGCCACTTCACAGCTATTGTTTATACAGCAAATGTCTGAAATGCCCAGTGTTGAACTTTCCTTTTTTCTGGGCTTAGTACTTAAAGTTCTCACTTTTACATTTTACACCATACTTTTATGGCTCTTCAATGTCTTTAAAAAAATGCTTTTTCCATATTTTCGGGTTTTGCTAGTATGTTGGTTGGATTGCAACACGCTAGAATGAAATTACCAGAAGCAAAAACCTAATCAATTTATTACCAATGGCTTTGAGTTCCTTTAGTGTGGCTTAAAGTACCTTCTAGACTTTAGAATCCTGACATTGATAAATGCAGTAATTAAAAAAAGCCCTGGCTGATTTGGCTCAAAGGTTAGAGCGTTGGCCTGCGGACCAGAGAGACCCAGGTTCGGTTCCTGCTAAGGGCAGGTACTCGGTTGCAGTTTGTTCCCGCTCGGTTGTGGTAATGTGGGAGGCAACCACTCGATGTATTTTTCTTACGTCAATGTTTCTCTCTCTCTCTTCCCCCCTCTCTCCCTCCCGCTCTATCTGAAGATAAATGCAAAAGTGTCCTTGGGTGAGGATTAAATTAAAATAAATTAAAAAAATAAATAAATAAAAGAGCCTGGCTGTTGTGACTCAGGGGTTGAGCGTCGACCCATGCACCAAGAGGTCACTGGTTTGATTCCCAGTCAGGACACATGCCCAGGTTGTGGGCCAGATCCCCAGTGGGGGGGGGGGGGGCATGCAGGAGGTAGCCAATTGATGTTCTCTCTCATTGATGTTTCTTCTGTCTTTCTCTCCCTCTCCCTTCTTCTCTCTCTAAAATCAATAAAGAAAAAAAATAAATAAAAGAGATTTTTGTAATTCTCTGCAAACTATAAATACCTGATTATGTGTATTATCCTATTTGCTGTTTTATATTTTTCTTCCCCTTTTAGACCATAAACTACTTATGTGTACAACTCAGATATACTTTATTCCAGTCTTTTCACATTGTGCCCATAAATACTACGTAAAAATTGAGTTGATTGAGATGTCTACTATCCCAAATAGGGGTAACTAAATTTATGTCCAACTAGTTTTAACTTGGAACTATCTCAGCATGAAATAAAAAGGGCTTTCATGCCCAGCCGGTTTGGCTCAGTGGATTGGGCATCATCCCATGGACTGAAAGGTCCTGCTTCGATTCCCGGTCAGGGCACATGCCTGGGTTTTGGGCTTGATCCCCAGTGGGGGGCATGCAGGAGGCGGCCAATCAATGTGTTTCTCTCACATCGATGTTTCTATCTCTTTCCCCTCCCTTCTAAGAAATCAATAAAAACTTTTTTTAAATTTATTTATTTTTTATTAATTAATTTTTGTTACAGATGTTTCTCCTTTTCCCCCCACTGATTCCCCCCTCCCCGTCCCTCCCTGCCCTTTCCCCAGTTTGTTGTCCATGTCCACTGTTCATGCATACATGCATATAAATTCTGTGGTTTATCTCTTCCCCACCACCCCCCTATTTAGGGGATTGTC